AATCGAAACGCGAGCTAGAAATGTTCGCACAACGGCGTACAATATCCAAAACATCCTTCAAAGGACACACAGAACCCAACCGCACCTCAGTATCCAGCCAGGGGCGAATGCCTGTTGGGAACTGGCAAGCGAAATGGATGCCATCCTGTGCGCCCTGCCGCACATCAATGATACCACAGGGAGGCATGCTACCTCGATGGACATGACATGAGACCTATTAGAGAAATGATTAGATCAGGTGACAGGGATTTTATCCTACCCTCAGAGGGGTCACTACATCTGGTGGATCACTAACATGCTGTTGTTGTCTGTGTCAGTCTGTTCCTCCGTCGTGTTGGATGGGAGGCCCCAAACTTGTTGCTCGCTGCGCCCCCTCACCGGCCTAGGGGCGTTTGGACCACCGAAGGATGCACCAGGTGCGGCAGTTTGGACCTCCCCCGACAAAGAGGAGTGGCTCCGCAGCGGCAAGCGAACACAGGTGGTTCCACAGGGGGGACTGGAGCATGTCCTGGCCAAGGGGCCCCTTGTCTCGTCTAATGTCAACCGCCCAGATCAGTGGGGAGAGGTCTGGGCATGTGGAGTGAATGAGTCCAGAGAGCCCGCGTCGTCCTTGCCTGCGTAGAGCAGGAGAATGGTTGGTTTAGCCTCACATTGGAGTGGGACGGGCGTCCAGTGGAGGCGCCGGCGCAAACGATCCGGGATATCGGTCATCCATGTGAAAGCCGGCTCCACCTGAGGAGCTGGAGTCTGGGTCCGGGGCAGGTCACTGGCCGTCCCTGGGCAAGGTGCTGGGTCCCCGGCTGTCGCTGGTGCCTTTACATTCCTTGTGATGCCGGAAATGCTTACCACTATTTCCACCCAATGCATACAAAAACGCGGGTCGTAAATTCACCCAGCAAGTTTGCCATAACAATAAACCAGTTTTTTCATCAAGACACGTGCCTGAGTATGCGAGTGTCTGCTAACATATCCAGGTAGATGTAGTACGGCAACCGGATCCGTTTCAGAAACGGAGGATTTCCACAGTCAATTCTTTTTTTCAGATGTTTTCAGTACTACTACTACTACTACTACTGCTACAACTGTGGCTGCTGCCACTGCCACCACCATCACCACCACCACGACGACGACGACTACTACTACCGGGCAACAATTTCCACAGTATGGGCAAGGTTTTGAGCAATTTTTTTCTTTCTAAAGACTTGCTTTGGCGGCGCTGTGCCACTGGGGTTTACACGTTTTGATGTGACTTCTTTCCACCTGATGTGACTTCCTTCCAATGCGGTGTGCCATGGGGTGATGTGACTTTTCGCCGGCTGATGTGACTTAAACCCTGCGCTTGTACTACTACTACTACTACTACTACTACTACCTACTATTCACTACTCACTACTCACTACTTACTACTTACAACAACAACAACTGCTACTACTACTACTACTACCACTACTACCACCACCACCACTTCCACTACCATTACCACGACCACTACCATTACTAATAATAGTACTACAACTGCTACCACCACCACCACCACTGCCGCCGCCGCTTCCACTGCCACTACCACTACTAATGAAAGTACTACTGCTACTACTACTACTACTACCACTTACCACTACTACTACTACTACTACTACTACTACTGCACCACGACTACGACTACTACTACTACTACTACTACTACTACTGCACACTACCACTACCACCACCACCACCACGACAACTACTACTACTACTACTATTACTACTACTACTACTACTACTACGACTACGACTACGACTGCTACTACTACCACCACCACTACCACCACCACCACTCCCACGACCACGACCACTACCACTACTAATAACAGTACTACAACTGCTACCACCACCACCATCACCACCACCACCGCTACCACTTCCACTGCCGCTACCACTACTAATGAAAGTACTACTGCTACTTTTACTGCTACTACTACTACTACTACGACGACGACGACGACTACTACTAGTACTACTACTACCTACTAACTACTACCCACTACCTACTAACTGCTAACTAGTAACTACTAACTACTAACTAACTAACTAACTAACTAACTAACTAAC